ATAAGGTAAGAGTAGAACATACTATTTTGAAATCTTCATGCATGTGTTATCTTTAAATATCTGTAAGCATTGCTAAAACCTTTAAAACTCAATTGAATAAGATATTTTCTTTCCCCAGTATGGACGTTCATTCTACATATATCATCCAATAGATGATAATATGAACGATATATCTTCTGTGCTTTTTAGAATAAACCGTGGGCCCACAAAAGGCTTTGAAAGAGATGTTGGAAACAAAACAACATACCATGTGATGTATCCAAGGAGTTTCAAAAATTTGGACAACACCACACATCTTGTGTTTTTTCCATTCAAAATTTTCGATCTACTGTGGCTTATCCGGTCTTTTGCTCAAAGGTATGTGTGTATTACAAAGGTAATATTTTTATTTGGTCCTGTATCTTGGTGATTTAACATTTATGATTTGAAAGTGTAGTCTGAATACATAACTGCAAGACAAAACCCTTTGAATATACACTTTTGTATATTTTGTATTATATTTTCTAAAAGGAAAAAAATGAATGAAGAAAGGAGAGCCCACAAGAAATAAAAGTAATGGGAAAAAAATGATCAGAATCCAAATTGCATTTATTAGCCAAGTATGCATGCACAAACACATACAAGGAATATGGTTCCGGTCGCTGGTGTCTCTCAAGCACAACAATGTAAAATACACAATATATGAGCGACACAATGAACAATATACATAAACCACAATATAAAAACGTCTAAATCCTTATATACAGAAAATACAAGATTACAGAAATGAATACCACAGAGTGTACATAAACTGCAGTTGCAATCTGGCAGTGTGAAGCAATGTGACAGTTCAACGGTTTAGGAGGGAAATGGCAAGGGGAAAGAAACTGTTTCTGTGTTGGGTGGTCCTGGTCTGCAGGCTTCTATACCATCTGCCAGAAGGCAGCAGGTCAAAAGGTCTGTGTCCAGGGTGTGAGAAATCTGTGATGATTCCCCCTGCCTGTTTTCTGGTTCTTGAGAGGTACCAATCCTGGATGGAGGGCAGGGGGGCTCCAATGACCTTTTTTTCTGCCCGTAAAGTCCACTGCAGTCTGCACCTGTCCTTTTTAGTGGCTGCTCCATACCAGACTGTGATGGAGGCGCACAGGACAGACTCAGTGACTGCAGTGTAGAACTGGATCAGCAACTCCTGTGGAAGACTACACTTCCCCAGTTGTCTCTGGAAGTGTATCTTCTGCTGGGTCTTTTTGAGGATGGAGGAGATGTTAGTCTCTCACTTCAGGTCCTGGGAGATAGTAATACCCAGGAACCTAAAGATTTTCACAGTAGACACCGCGTGGTCTGATATGGTGAGATGGAGCAGTGTTGAGGGATGTCTCCTGAAGTCCACTATTATCTCTACAGTCTTAAGCATGTTCAGCTCCAGATTGTTCTTACTGCACCAGAGTACCAGCGGCCCAACTTCCTGTCGATACTTACAGAAAGACATAAAAGAGAGAAATAGACAAGTGACATGTATTGAGGTAGGTCGGAGGGGGGACAATGTAATTTCACATGAGATAAAGTGGCAGGAGTGAGCAGCAGTACAAATTTGAGCCATACAAGACTAAAAGTGGCAATTAGTGCAATATTGTCTCATGAAGGGTTTGTTCCCTTCGCCTCCGGGTCGGGGAATGGATCCTGACCGTAGTCTGTGCTTATGCGCTGAGTGGCAGTTCAGAGTACTCAGCCTTCTTGGAGTCCCTGGGTGGGGTACTGGAGGGTGCTCCCCCTGAGGACTCTGTTGTCCTACTGGGAGATTTCAATGCTCATGTGGGCCATGACAGCAAGACCCAGAGGGGCGTGATTGGGTGGTACGGCCTCCTGGATCTGAGCCTGAGCGGTGTTTTGTTATTGGACTTCTGTGCAAACCACAGTTTGGCGATAATGAACACCATGTCCATAAGTGCACATGGCACCAGGACACACTAAACGATCGATGATCGATTTTGTGTTTGTATCACCAGACCTGAGGCCACATGTTTGGACACTAAAAGTAAAGAGAGGGGCTGAGCTGTCAATTGATCACCACCTGGTGGTTGGTTGGATCAGGTGGAGAGGGAGGACAATGGACAGACCTGGTGCACCTAAACGCACAGTGGGGGTGTGCTGGGAACGCCTAGCAGAGGTCTGTGAGATCCTCAACAGCATTGAGTCCAAATGGACCATGCGGCCACAGCTCAGTGCAGCGGCTTCTGCAATGGAGATGCTGAACAAGGTAGTTGGTGCCTGTTGTGGTGGTAATCTCTGAACCAAATGGTGGACACCAGAGGTGAGGGGAGCCACAAAGCTGCAAAAGGAGTCCCTTGGTTAGCCTGTGGGACTCTGGAGGCAGCTGATAGGTACTGGCAGGCCAAGCGGAACGCAACGTGGGCGGTGGCTGAAGGTGTGGGAGCAATTTGGAGAGGCCATGGAAAAAGACTTTTGGACTGCCTCGAAGAGATTCTGGCAAACCGTCAGGCGACTCGGGAGGGGAAAGTGGTGATCTACCTGCACTGTGTATAGTGCGGGTGGAGTGCGGCTGACTTCGACTGAGAAAATTGTGTGTGTTAATGGGTGAATGACTGGGTGTGTAAAACGCTTTGGGGTCCCTAGGCGGGACTAGTAAAAGTGCTATACAAATCCAGGCCATTTACCATTGTGTTCATCAGTACATAACTGAAACCAAGTGGAGGGTAACACATATTTACATTATTTGTACAGTATGAATGATTTGCTTTGGTACCTGGTCAAACTTAAGCTCTCCTCTGTCTGCCTGTTTGCGCTTCTCCTACAGCAAACTTCGGGCAGCAGCTTCTCCCCCCTCGTTCACATGAGTAAGTGCTGTGCTCAGTTGCCTAGTACGACTGAGCACCTGAGCTCAGATGATACCAAAATTAGCGCACAGTCGTAAATTCCCCCTATGTGCTTCAAATATTGTGTGTAGTTTTTGTTTTATACAGTTGTCAGTCAGGCCTCTAACTATGAAACAAATTACACTCCACTCCACTCCGGGCTTCTGAAAAAATGACTTAAGCCCAGTAAGCCACTCCCCCGCTCCGCCGATGGTTGACTCCAAATCTCCCGACCACTATGTCGATCTGAGACAGTGAGACCAAGACAGCGAGACCAAGACAAGACCGAGGGGTCAGAGACCAAGACAAGACCAAGACCAAAGTCCGTTGAGACCAAGACAAGACCAAGACCACGTAAAAGTGGACCAAGACCGGTCTCGAAACATCAAACTCTAGTACATTCAACCAGCCTCACAACAGCAGACCACATGTAACCACACCAGCCCACAGGATTCTTTGAGACCAGCTACCCACACAGCTGCAGCAACAATCAGTTTGCATGACCGAAGAATTTCTGCACAAACTGTCAAAACCATCTCAGGGAAGCTCATCTGCATGCTTGTCGTCCTCATCAGGGTCTGGACCTGACTGCAGTTCGCCATTGTAACCAACTTGTGTAGGCAACTGCTCAAATTTGATGGTGTCTGGCACATTGGAGAGGTGTTCTGTTCACAGATGAGTCCCAGTTTTCACTGTTCAGGGCAGATGGCAGACAGCGTGTGTGGTGACATGTGGGTGAGTGGTTTGCTGACGTCAACATTGTGGATCGAGTGTCCCATGGTGACTGTAGGGTTCTAGTACGGGCAGGCGTATGTTATGGGCAACGAACACAGGTGCATTTTATTGCTGGAATTTTGAATGCACAGAGATACCTCGACGAGATCCTGAGGCCCATTGTTGTGCCATTCATCCACATTTGTTCAGGCCCTGGTAGGAATTCTGAATACCAGCCACTTCTTTTACCTGACGGTGGTACATACTATGCCGGGGACCTGTTGTCCCATGATATTTCCTCCTCCTGCTCCTCTTCTTTCTTGGGTTTCTGCTGCCTGAGGTATAACAAACTAAGTTTGGTTAGTAAATATTTATAAGTTACACTTACAAACATGCATAAACACTAGCTCATGCATATTTTGATTTATTTTGATGAATTAGTCCATAATTCCTTCTTCTAGTCTTCAGTAGTCCAGTGGCGGTGTTTCATGGCCCAGGCAAGCACTCTTTATATTATTCTGACATCTTGGCAATGGCTTTCTTGCTGCAACTCGTTCTGTCAAACCTGCAGCTTGAAGTCTTCTCTTTACAGTTGAAACTGAGACTTGCTTACTATGAACACTATTAAGCTGTGCTTGAAGCTGTTGTCCTGTGAACTACCTGCAAGCTGTTAACTCTCAGAAACCTGTCCTCTGATTAAGTTGTTGCTTTGGGCCTACCAGACTTCTTCCTGTCACAGTTTGCCCCAGTTTGTTAATAGTGAAGCAAACTGTACTCACTTACACCTTGACTTTCTTTGCAATTTCTCTGTAGGAAAGACCTACATTTTTAAGTGTAATGA